TTATATAAGGCAGCACTTTTCATCTTTTTTAATATTGTTGAAAAACTGTCAAAATAAGCTTGGAAGATTTAAATTATGATTCTTAGTATAAGATGAAATTTCAGCAGTATTATGTTAGTAGTAAAAATCAAAATTGAACTCTTTTTAGCACCTTTTGCTGTTTCTTATATAGTGGCTTTTGTCTGCCACAAATGAAGATCAAAATTTGTTATTGGTTAACAAAGCCTAAGATCTTCCAGTTTTCTTTCTTGTTATAAAAATGCATTGCTGATAAGCATAGCAAAGTGAATCATTCAGAAAAGAAAAAAAAAGTTTTTATATTTCTTTAACATTTTGCGATAAGTGTTATTTTACACCATTAGTGTTATAAGTGAAACATATTTTAACATTATATAATATGTTCAATTGCAAAATTGTTAACTCTAGTTATTATATATAATATAGAGTATACTATCATCTGCATCATCTTAAGGCAATAATGAAATTTTTTAACAGCACGGAGGTATCACTGTTCTGTGTATTTTTATTAGAATTATATCTAAATGATAACAGACTTTTTGACATTTGTATAGATTTCAGATTTTGCATCTCATGCTAAAAAAAAAAGAGAGAGAGCTAAGAAATGTCAAAAAGAAATACAGGAGTTTTTAAAAATCAAAATATTTTTACTGTCAATTTTAATATGATTTAATGGTAAATATTTAGTTTTAACATTTGGCAACAATGAGTATTGTACTTATACTATTTTGATACTATTCATGCCTTGTTTCTATACTCCCAAAAAAACAAAGTTATAATTTTTTAAACTCATTTTTTTTTTTATTTATTTATTTATATATATTTCTGCAATAAAAATTTTTTGGGGAGGTATCTTAAAAACTGATCTAATTAAGATAGGAAATTTCAGCATAATTTTTCTGAGGAATAATATTCTTTTAATATTGGAAAGGTGGAATTTTTTCCTTACTACAAAGATATTTAATGGGCTTAGTTAAAAAATCCAGAATTTAATATATTTAACTTTTTTTTTTTTTTTTTTTTTTTTTTTTTTTTTTTTAATTTAGAACTTTTCTTATTCACAGACATTAAACCACAGCATATTTCAAAATAATGTTTTGAGCATATGTAATGATATCGAAAAAAATATTTTAAATAAAAGTAAGTTATGTTGGTATTGCTTGTAACCTAAGTATATGAGAATACATCTGCAAAGTTATGCATAAGCAATACAGACAAAATAAAATTTGAAAATTACATTAATTTGAAATGAAGTACATAAAAATTGCTCAGTTCTGCCATTAAAATAAACTATACATTCAGTTCTTTATTTTCATATATGAAATTCTAAAAAGTGCCATTTTGTTTGTTTGTCGAGAAATAAAGTGTTCTTGTTGCATTTTTAACAAACTTATCTCTTGCATTTGTAGCATATATCAGTTTTGTTTTTACTGAATTTTCCAGTTTTTCATTGTACACAAAAATTTTATTCCTGACCAGAAACTAATGAAGCAAAGCGTGAAATACAATTTGGTGTCGCATGTTTTCATCTAAATTCTTCAGAAAGTAGCAGTAAAAATTTGTCTTCTAAGAATTGTGCCTTCTGTGGTTTCTTTGTACATAATCCAAGCACTGATTGCAGCCAATTCTAAAACATTGTTGAATGCATACATTAGCCATCCATGACTTCCTTATTATAAAATAGTTTTTAGAATTTAGTGAAGAATATCAGCACTATTCTTTGTAGAGATATAAAATACCACATTTCTCCACGATTTCTTGACATCATCTATTCTATATTGTCAATAGTTTGGTGAAGAGTATTCCTCAGGTGTATAAAAGAATGAAAAAAACATTGAATTCATCCAGTGATATTGACCACTTTTCAGTCTGAAATTGCCAGTGAGCTTCGGTTCAATACATACTTTTATTAGCAATTTTATGGCTAGAATATGGCATTCCATTTTTGGTGTGAAAGTTCATAATTTTTATGGCAGGCACTAGCCATTTTAGGCTTTGGCCACTCACTACTAAGGCCAGAAGCAGTTGTCATTTTATTATGGAGGCACCTAATAAGCAGCCACTGTTATCTCCTTAGAAGGAACAGACATTTTATTATTATGCACAGACATTTTTGTCCAGGATTCGAACTCGGGCCCTTCTGTATGGCAGTCCGAGCCACTAACCACTTTCCCATGTGGGCGGCATATAATGCATAAAAAATTGAAACTTGGGAACTCATTTACATGAAAAAAACAGCTTGCATGGTATAAACCATGCAGGCTGTAATTTAATGATAATAAATTACCTGCATGCATTCATTGCATTAAAAATTAATGGCAGTTTCTTGAGCAAATTTAATAATTAGCAGAATTCAATTGTTGGATGTTATTCCAAATTATAAAAATGAGTGCACTCTCAGAGACAAGCAATGTATTTTCATCGAAAAAAAAAAGTTATTTATTCATCTAAATAGAATCCAATATAAATAGCAAACTGGAAATACTGGATACCTAAAATATAAAGGAATTGTGAAATTTTGAAGTCAAAATGTACATTTACATACAACAAATGCCGAAGAAATCACTATAAAACCAAAACTAGGAGCAACAAATAAAACCTTAGTGCTAGGGAAGAGCTGGAAAATGTAAGTACTATAAAAATTTATGCGGAAAATACATTGCTCGAGATTTAATAGTTAGCAGAATTCAGTCTTGAGTATTAATTTTTAATAATATAACTCAATACATTTTAAGAGAGAGACAGTAGGATGCTTTATTTCAAGAGCAATTTTTTCACATTAACTGGATTTGATGGCAGGCAAAACTATATTGTTTATCCCTTGAAATACTTCCTTTTTACTCAGTGCAAAAGCTGAATTTACTTTTATTCAAGTTCATGTAATCCATCAATTAGATAGGATAATTAATATTTTTCCTAAATATTTATTACTGAAAATTAGTTTTAAATTTGGTTTTATTGTGTTAAAAGGTTAATTAGGACAAACTATATACAGAAGGTGTTCACACATTTTTGTAACGAATTTGCAAAGATTTATATATAAACAAACCTTAGAATATTATTTTGTAATATGTTCAGTCTGATAGCCCTTTTGTTCAGCTATCATATTGCATTTTGATTTCCAGGATAGTGCTTTTCTTAAAACATTGAGGTTCATTTATTCCACTCCTCCCTCACAATTTACCAGAGTCCATCCAATGTTTTGGGATGCTACCTATAAAGAGCTTGTTTTAAAAGTCCAGATGCATAGTAATCCATAGCAGACACATCAGGGGACTTGGGTGGAATGCAGTTAAAGAGAATAGTTTCAATCCGGTTTCATTTCTCATTTTTTCAAAAAAAAGAGCAGTAGATTTTGAGGTATGGCTTGGAGCCTTGTCCGGATGGAACCTAACACAGTGAAGATTGTTTGGATAAAGAATGGATGTATGGTATAATCCGAATTAATTTTGACATTTTTTTCTACTTTCTTTTTTAAGTTTTCCGTTATAAGAGAACCGGTAATAACCATAAAACCTTTAAAAAAAACTTTCCTTGTTTTCTCTAAACCAACATCTTTTTCTCCTCTTTTTCGGTAGTAAATCGATCTTTTCAAATTGCAGTCAGATAAGTATATCCAAGCCTTATCAATTATAATTATATATTTTATTTTTATTTTTCACCTGCCAAATAATTTTCATACAGCAATCTGTACGTAGTCCTACGCCGAGAAACATGTTTCGGCGTTAGGCGATGAACATCAATTTTTTTTTTTTTTTTTTTTTTTGATTAACTTTAAATCAGATTTTATGATTTTCTTCACAGTTCCTACAGAGATATTTAAAAATTTTGCAATAACTTTTTGGGAGGCTGGATTTTTCGTTTAAAACGTGAGATGCGACATTAGATTCAATAAGAGCTGTACGTACCCTTGTTGGGTATATATTTTTTGCCTTTTTCCCAGTCAGATGCAAACTTTGACGTTTCTTTCCTTTCATATTAATTATCTCACTTATTTTACGTGTAGAAATATTAAAATCATGCTTTTCACATCTTTTCTAATAGTTGAATTAGAGTATTTCTCTTCAAACTGCGCAAAAATATAGCCTTCGATTCATTGTTTATTTTTCAGCGACATTTTAAAGAAAAGAATATTTTTTATGCTACAGACGATAATTAAACCTTAGTCCAATTGGATGCCAGTCACGTTTGTATTTTAAAATTAAATTTAAATTCAGTTATAAAAAATCAAAATCGTTACAAAAATGTGTGAACAAACACCCTCTGTATTCTGGGTTTTTACAGATATCGATAGAAATAGATTTTTATCAATAGATTACAAAATGTTGAGTAAGTACAACTTTTAGTTTTTAATCGTTTGCCCACAAAACTTCAAATTCATTTCCAGATGTTACAAAAGTATGACTATTTTGGTTAATTTAAGAATATCTGTCATATTTGGCATCATTAAATTTATTCCCATTTATTAACTCCTTCTGCTTTGGATATTTGTATGTGTTTCTATATGCTGCTTAGAACTTTGGTATAGTTGATAAGTTTAATCCCTTTACTGAATCCTACCATTTATATTTTTTTTTCTGCCTGTTTGATGTTTTAGCATGATTAGCATTTAACAACCCAATTATTTAAATGTTTCCATTTGTTCCCTAATTTAATGCTTGGGAAAAGTGTTGTATTGCTGCATCATATGAGATATGTCATGTACTTTCCCTTGATTATTATCCTACCTTGAATACTTGTTTATGGTTGCGTATTCAATAATAGGTAAATTTTATTAATTCAGCATCTTTGTAATTTATTATTTTGCATCATTTTATGGAATAATTTCTTTTTCCTAAATAAATACACTTTTTAAATTTTACTAATATTAATTTTTACATTGAACAAAATAGTGCTGTAAATTGTTTATTGCTAAGCTTAACATAAATAAATATGTAATAAGGTTATAATTTAATTTAAAGCTTTCCTTGATTGTATTTAAGAATGCATTACTGAAAGTGGTGCTTGAAAAATACTAAGAATGCTTTATGATAGAGGAAATAGAGCAGCATGATTCAAGTTTTAAACATTCATATATTCATTCAATTTATATCTGCCATATTCATTGATAAACTATTTGTAAAGTAATAAGCTAGATTTATCTAAATATAAAATTAACTTCAAGAGTGCCGTTTGATTATAAAGTAGAAAATTTTCTTTTTACAACAAACAACCAGTAATAATCTCTTATATGACAGAATGTGAGTTAAACAAATAATTTTAAAATTGTGATAAATATTAGAGTTTTAATCATCTTTATGTGCTTTTAGTAATACTAATCATATATGCAACCAGCTGCTGCTAGGTTGTTTTGAAGTTTCATTTCCTGTATATACTGTGAAAAGTATTTTATTCCCAGAGTAGTTAGTGCTGTAGATTTATATATACTAGTGCCAGAAAATTAATACTTTGGTACTATCCAAAATAGAGAACTGTAATTTAAGGACACTTGCTCAATATGCAGCCATTTTTTGTACAATAATGTATACTTAAGTGTATAAAATGCACAAAAGTTAAATCCATTTGTATATCTGTCAATGTTAAACCAAAATTTTAAATGTTGTTTTTATATACACCTTATCCATTTAATTAGGTAGTGATGTTTTTCTGTTGTTTTATGCAATGTACAGTTTTTTTCATGAAGTCCTATTTATATGTACATTCGATTGCATTATTTTTAATACATCTCTTATAGTATTTGCATAATGTTAGAGTACGATGCATCTGTCCACCATTAATTATAAAATTATGTATGTAATAAAGGAAATTAACTAGTTTTGTGTAATATGCTAAATTTAATTTTTTATACCATTGTCTCATTGTGTAATTCATGAAAGCGGTCCGATATCTAAATGATTAAATTAACAAAACTTCAATTTTGAAACAATTAAGTTATGTCTGTAATAATTAGAAAATTATATTCATAAATTCATTTGCAAGAAATTGCTATTATATAAAGCTTAAATATATATATATAACAAGTGTATAATTAAATTAAATAATTTATGAATTTAAAGAAAGAGGTGACTTTAATCATATGCTTTGTAATGTAAACATACTGACTATAATTTTCCTCACATTAGGTAAAAAATTATAATTAAAACAGAACAACGAAAAAGCAGCAAATTATTTGATAAAGCGTAAACAAAGTAAAGGCCTTTCGAACATAGCAATAGCTCTTTTTCGCGGTAAACTTCTGAAATTTTCAAAAGCCCACGAGTGCAGATGTCATTTTCCGTTCGTAAACATTCCAAATCGAACACCTAATAATCGCTCTTAGCTAGTATATCGTTTTTCTGCAGTTACAGTACTTTAGTTCAGAGTTAAAAGACATGCATAACAAACTTGTATGCGATAATCTTGTATAAAAATAAAGGATACTTACGTATTAACGCAACCACCTTAATGCAAACGGGAAATTTTTTACGGATGAAAAGGTAAAAGTTACTTATCGGGTGCAAGTTCACGCCTTTGTTTAGAAAGATTACCAAACTCTTGATATTTATCTTAAGTCGGTAAACATTATCAACGTATGAAAAGAAAACATATATTAGTAATTTAAAATATAAAATTGAATTATTAAATGAGGAATACGTTGTACATTTAAAAATATAACTTTTACACCGGTGTCCAAAAGTTAAGCATAATTCGTAAAATTTGGAAGAACATTAGTAATCAAAATCACTTTTGGAGAATCGTTTGTTTGAGAGTGAAACAGTGTGCATATGCAAAACATTTCAGTCGACGTCGGGTCGGTATGCGCAAGCGCGCGTCAGAAAAAGTATAAAACCATTTCTCGTGCCTTACGGAGATTAGGCAAGTTATGTGCAACTGCTGTGCTGTGAAGCGAGTCGAACGATCAAAAAGACCGAAGGAATACACAAAGACGCAAAAAGGGCATGTTTCTGAATGGACAGAGAAAGAATTATTGGATTGCTGGGATGTGGACCGTCTCAAACCGAAGTGTCTCAAATTCTGAATGTGCCTCAGTGTGTAATCTCAAGACTGTGGCAGAGGTTTCACAGTACGGGAGATGTTACCCAACAACCATTACAAGATCGACTAAGGGTAATAACCATTCGGTCAGCACCAATTTTTGGCAAAATCTGCGCAACATCAAAGGGACAGTTGTGCCAGAGAACTCTGTTCAGCGCTCACACCTGCCACAGGAGTTCCAGTTTCAAGACAAACTGTTAATAGGAGACTCCATCATGCTAGTTTCTATGCCAGACGACCAGCCGTTTGCATCTTCTCACACCTGCTGATAAAACCGCTTGTCTAAAGTGGAATTTGAAAAGTCAGTATTTGAGTTTCCAAGAGTGAGCCAATGTGATGTTCAGTAACGAGCCCCGGTTTACTCGGAACTCTTAATTCTTTCCATAGCATGATATCCTTCTTTTGCATTTTTGTCTTTTGGTATAACCGTATTACATTCGCGCATCACGTGTCTCGCCATTCTGACTTAGATTTCCTTAAATGTTCACATAAACATCAATTACGCTTAACTTTTGGTGGCAACAACGACTTTCAAGAAAACGCATTTCCTCTTTGTTTCATGTAGAAAATTTTCAGCAAAATTCTGTTTTCCTGCTGAAATTTTAGCGCAGTTTCTTCCGTTGCTGGTAAATTCTACAAGATCATATTTTAAATGTTAAGGCAAAAAATATCACGATTTGTTTATAAAAACCGTTGGAACTGGAATACAAGAAAAAAAGAACGCATACAAAAATGGCGACGTTGTTTGACTGAAGGACTGTTATGAGTATGGTTCCCAGAAGAATGGTTATGCTCATGGTTGCCAGAGTATGGCACATTCTGAAAATGGGCGAATTCTACTATGGTGGGTGCGTTAGTAGGTAAGTACCAAATAAAGATTGTGTGATTTCTTTGCGAAAGAACCAAAGTAAATATTAGTTTTGATGCATCCATAATTGATAAAATATCCTACGTTGTTAGATATCAAAAGTATTTATATCTTTAACGAATTCTAAGACGTACCTAGTTTTTAGAGATAATTGTATGGGTGGAAATTAACCTATTTTGTGTGGAGGTATGTAATATACAGCGTTAAAAACATTTTATTAAATACAATAACGCTATAAATATTAATAAAAATTATTTATTATATATATCATAAATTAAACTTGATTTGAATTTGATATGCTATTAATTCAAATTGAAATAAAGAGTTAAATTATTAAAAAATGCGTTTATTGCTTTTAAATCGCTCAGCTTGTTAAGAAATACCGATATTATTTCAAAGATAAATTGATATTTGATGTCATACCGAATGGGTGCATTCTGGAGACTGATTTTGTGCAACGCGCAGGAAGGCAAATTAAAGATCTAATATTTCGTGCAATAGCAATATTTTCCAAGTCACATGAATGATAACTATAACGTAGTGGATTGAAAATTCGGAAAGACTCCACTGAAGATTTTCTGCCACCAAAATGGGCTTAATAAATAATAATAATAATAAAGAATAGCTGTTACTGAAATAATATTTTATAATTTGTTTTATTGATTATGATATTGTTTTATTCTTATACATAAATTTTTAAATCACTTGGGGATTTTGACATATTACTTCCTGTCGATTGTATCAAAGAAATGGGAAATTTTATTGTGGCAGCGTTACAAAAAGAATCCAACGTGTAAAAAAGGTTTTAGTTGATAGGTGACACTGTAATTTAATTACAAAGCTGTCGATTAATGCAAGTCATTCCGACAGATTACAGCGTATTCCAGTGAAAATTAAGCAGTGTATCTCGTTAAAACCTTTATAAATCTGAATTTTTTCTCAAAATAAATAATAATGAAATAAATAATAATTTCTCGATCATTGTTGCGTATGAAACATGCATTATGTTTTATTAAACATGGAAAATTTCAGTATTAAGTCACATGCAATTACAATTTAGAATGTTCTCATATTGACGTATTAATTCATCAAAGACTTTTCCGAATTTTTGTGCTGCTATGTTAAGTTATGCTATCATACTCTTTATCGTCCTCGCGGTCTACTATGTGTTGGAACTGCATGATACATATTACGTTTTTTCCCCTTACACACGATTGTGAGAATAACATTTTCAAAAGTGTTGCAATTCCACTTGCCATAAGGTCTTTAACCCTTTGCGGCACAGAGTGTCCGATGTGGACACACCTAAAAATTTCCTTCTGTACGCACAGGAAAATTGAATGAAAAAGGATTTATAGGTTACTCTGAACCTTCTTTATTTATAGTAGATGGCAGCTTAACACAAGCCATTCCATATATTTTAGCCATGTTTAGTTTTTTAAGACCCTCATTTTTCAAAGAAATCTTCCAAATTTTTGGGGGGTATAAAAGGAATTGTTTGAAAAGAAATTTCTATGCTATTTTTTTGGCTGTGTGCTAATCTCCTTATTCTATATTAGTTTTAAATTTTTACCTTTAAACCTTGCCTAAAATCAAACAGGGAACCCTAGGTGTGCCCAGACCGGGCTCACCGATAATCTAGGACAAATGAGAGTCTGTATTCTTTGTTTCTCCGCATCTCATCGGTCAGTTCATTGACAACAATGCTCGTTTCAGCACTCTTTTTGAAGCTCTATTCAATCAGTGTGCCACTTTGGGCACACTCAGAGAATTAAAAGATAAGTACTATCTTCATAAAATTTTACTTGTGTACTCCTCTAGGCCTAATTTAGACTGCCTACCTTCTTTTTTTTTTTTTTTTTTTTTTTTTTTAATTTTATTTTATTTATCATCAAAACTCCAAGTTTAAAAGGTAGCATGCCGGAAAGGGTTAATAAAGCCTTCAAATGATAACTGCTTAACAAACTGAGTGATTTAAAAGCAAAGAATGCATTTCTTGTTAATTTAAATCTTTATTTTATTTTCTAATAATATACCTATCTAGTTGACCTAGTTTAAATTAATTTAAATGACTATCTAATTGATGATTATTAAGTAATACATTCAAATGATAATTATAAATATTTGTGCGCCATTCGAGTGTAGGCGCATTTCGCGCTAAAGGGAGGATCTCTAAATTTTTGTCTGTACGCTAGGAAGGACTACCTTGGTTTCACGTGGTTTTTAGATTCCTTGGACATATTGTTAATTACTGGCGGTAGTTCATAAGAAAATTTAATTTTCTAGTGATTCTTATAAACGAAATTATTTTAACTTTTAATGCTATATTTTAATTCATCCTCACGAAAACATACTTACAATATGTAAAAGAATTCGAACTAAAGTATATTGATAGTAAAGCTAGTTCTCACGCAAGTGATCATTAACGGAACATGCGCAGGCAATTTCTGAAGTTAACGCGTTCATCAGCTGCCAGTGTCACAACCGTGTGGTCTCGATCGCTTGTCTGTCGTATTCATATTTTCAAAAGACACAAAATTAATGATAAAAGGTAGATTTATTCCGCAAGTTTTCATTTATAGTACAAGCTTGAAACATTATACACAACATTCCAATGTCTACCAACAGATGGCGGTACACTCTCGACTTTCTTAGGGTAAAAATATGTTCGTAACCTTGATTTTTCAGTTGCAGATTTCTTTCTACTGGTAATAGAACGACTTTGTTCGCCCTCGAAAGCGATTGAATTTCCATGTTAAAAAATCTACGCCTAACTCAGGTTCTTGCTTCACTTTTATGAATATTATGTAATTTCAACATGATTAATTATTAAACTAAGAAATAATGTGTTGGGCTCTTTTTGAGGTAAAATATTTTTAACTTATTATTTAATATAATATGCATCAGATTTAAAAAAATTATTGGTACTTTTCCGTTTTGCC